TTTTTGGTCAGAGTTTCATTCTGTGGCCCAAGCTGGAGTACAGTGGCATGATCTCGGCTCACTGCAGCCTCTGCCTCCTGGGTTCAAACAATTCTCCTGGCTCAGCCTCCCAAGTTGGGACTGCAGGCACCCGCCACCATGCCTGGCTAAGTTTGTATTTATAGTAAAGACAGGGTTTTACCATGTTGGCCAGGCTGGTCTTGAACTCCTGACCTCAGGTGATCCACCTGCCTCAGCCCCCCAAAGTGCTAGGATTACGGGCGTGAGACACAGTGTCTGGCCTTACGCTGCATTTCTAGAGCTGGCCATAAACCTCCCTAACAATCATATAAAATCTTTCTCTTCTATTAAGACTGTGGAGGCCGCAACATGGAAGAAAAGATTTAAGTGAAACCCCAAGAAGAGTCACGTCATTCTTATGGAAGGATCACATCAGCAATAAACCTTTATTGTTTTAAGCTACTGATATTTTGAGGTTCCTTGTTAAAAAGTTAATTTTAATCACCAATGAATAAAACAGATACACATGTAGACTAAGCAATCTCATTGTACAGCCCTTTATAGGAAGTGATTTGGAGAAATCAGGAAAGCATTATTGTCGTCCTCAACATTTCATTTCTTTTGCCATTTACTTTGTTGGTTCTATCACTTTCCAAGAGTGGCATGATTGTATCAGTGACAGCCAACAGAAAATGATACTCTGTTTAGGCCAATTTTGATAACTACATGCTACTTTAGGGCCAACATTTACTGTACCAAGAATATTACTATAATATTTTTGATCAAAGATATTGTATCAATTTTTCTATGTGCTTTATTCTGTTTAATTCTCCAAACAACATGAAAGGGTATGACTATTACCCTTTAACAGCAATTCAATGTGGTTTTAATGCTGCTTAGAAAAGCTCTCAGTTCTCAAAATGATTTTCAAACTCCTAGAAAAATATAGTACATTTTTCATGTGTGAAGATATAACTTGGCCAAATTTCAAAAACACGAATTTTTTCCAAAGTTTTAAGAATCTTTCCTAAGATACCAAAAAAATTGTTTTCCATCAGACTTGAAATTTCTAGCTGAAGCTCATGAGCGAGATGCTGTATTGATCTAATATATCATTAAGTGGCAAAATGGTATAATTTATCATGTCCACATGGCATTATGGGAAATTCTCTCTACTGCTCTGGGTCCTTATATGCACTTTCTCATTTTTTCACATAACAGACTAATGATAGAGGAGCTCTCATTTCGGTCTTTTGTTTCCAACAAGCAAATGCATATAAACAAGCAATTATTTTTGAAGTAGTGTACTTTCTCCTATACTGTTTAAAGCAGTGATTTGTTTATTTCAAATTGTAAACTCTCTTTTCTGCCTATAAAACAAATTACCTTATGCATGAATATGAGAACACATAGTTTCTCCATGGTAGCTAGCAAAAACATCTTTCCTGCCACAGCATATTAAATAATTATTAAAGTCCATTAACTTTAAGTGCATGCAAGTACTCTTTATTTAAGAAACACATTTCTACAGATACTATTTATCCAAAATCAAAATGGCCTTTTCTGGGTAGCTAGGAGACAAAAAGTCATAACCTTATATGAAACAGGAAAAACAAATAAACAGACTCGATTTACATTAAAATGATGTCATTAAGCTCTGCAGAATGTGCTGGTATCTCACCTACTGCCTATAAAGAAAGTATAACAAATGACATTGTATATATGTTAATTTTGCTGTTCCATACTTTGGTGGAAGGAGTAATGTTGAATATTCTCAGACAGTGACACATCCCATAGTTAAGAGCATCATCTAAGGTGCTGACTCTCAGCATCACTGTGAGCACACACATCTTTCCCTCTACTTTTGGTTTTCTCTCCTCAGCTTCTTCCATGCCTTTACTTTCCTCCTCATATGGCTGCACTTCCTATAGCCCATGGCCAAGTTTCCCTTCTCTCACCACACTCCGGAACTGGCTTCCCATTCTTTGACTCAGGTGTAATATTTATTTGGATTCTTATCCAGTCTATGTAACTCCTAACTCACCTGAAACCTGGTCCCGAACAGAGCAGGACATTTCAGAGTCACGTTAAAGATAAGTGGAGACTGTGCCCACACACAACAGAGCCACTCAAGTAACAAGATGGCACGGAGCTTTCAATCAAATGCAGTCGATTCTGTTATTCACACTAATTATGATCTATAACATTGTCATGGACACTGAATTAGCAAATACTGAATCATGGCTCCTAGAGGAAATACATGACTTGGTTCCTATGAGCCTTTGGTTTTTGCCCACTGATTAATGCATAACCTTGTTTTATGTGTGTTTCTGCTTAAAGGCACCTTATCAATACATAATTAATATATACTGATGTATATTGAAATAATGTACATATTCAATATATATATTTTGATTTATTAACATTGAATCATGGCCAAAAGCACTATAACTCATGCCCAAACAAAGCTTATCTAACAAGTATATTTTTTCTCTGTAAGGCACTTCTCAGCCTTCTTGTGCTTAGATACTCTGGACAGTACTTCAGTACATTGCTTATGGGGTCATTTTTAAACAGTGAAATCACCACTGAACATGCAAAAGGCATAAAAATGCAAAAAATATGGCATTAAATAGATCGTGAAAGGGACACTTGTTTACAATGTACTTTCAGTGAGTCAAGTTTACTGTCACTCTGTGCTTATCAGCAAAAGCACCATGAGTACTGATTTGAAGATTATAAATACATTTTAATGAGTATTAGAATTTGCAGATACAGAATCCACATGTAATGAGGGTCAACTGTATTTAAATCATAAAAACATTATGAATTAGAATGTTATTTGTGATGCCCCCAAAATAGTTCTATTTTTAAAAAGCTGTATTTTCTACCAACAGAGGCATGAAATCAGTAATAGTTTAATCCAACCAAAGTTCAAATTTTTGTTAAAGCTGTGTTAAAAAAAAAAAAAAAAACCTTGGCTTCTCTTGTCTCTACAGGGTACTTCTAAGTTGAAGTTCACTATAATAGGCATTATATTCCAGCTTCCACTGAAAGTTCTGCCTCCATAAAAGTCACCAGACTCCAGGGTTCCAACAATTAACACAAACTTCAGTATTGTGTTTAGGGGAAATCCCTCATTCAAAGGCACAAGGGAGAATTTGACCCACTAGCCTTGAAGGAAGAGACTGCTATCTTATAATCAGACACCCTGCTTTTCTGTGACTGGGGAATGCCTTTCTTCCTCTCTTTATCCTGCTTAATAGTTCTATGCAAAATGACACTCACTGAGCTTTTGCTTCTTGGCTCAGTTTTAGCAGGATCAAGGAAGCCCCAGGCTGTGGCTAGTGAGGATGGGCTTAGAGGTCTTAGAGAATTGCAAGAATGACCTGGGCTTCAAATTGTGAGGTGGGACGTGAAGCCAAGATCCTAGGTTTACCTGGCTTGGTTTTTTAGGATTTATATTGTCACCTGTTTCAATCGGAGTTTAAAACCACCATTTTGGAGGCCTTTGTGATGCTGAATCCTGAAATATTCTCAGAAAGTCAACATAATCTTTTTCATAAAGGCTCACAGCAGAGCTGCAAGCAGCACCACCTGTCTACAGATATACCTTAGGTCTGCTTTAGATCGTAAAATGGAAATAAGCTTTCAAAGTGTTTTTCAAGTTGCCTTTGGGTTCTGTTAAATGTAGAAATGTTTCTTTCTTTCTTTTTTTTTTCTTGGTCAAATGAAATGTCACTGTCATTTCCTTCTTAACATGAAATCATGCCATTGGATACTTGGGGAAGGAAAACCCACATGAAACATCTACCCAGATGTTATGGGAGAAATGCTGGTTTAGAAAAGCCTTTGTTCTATGGTGGAAGCTACCACGGTTGTTCCATCACATCAATTTTTACTTACACCATTTAATAAATAAAAACACGCTGACTGCCAACCCATGAGAACAACCCTATACCAATTACTGAAGAACAGAACTGCTTCAGTGAGAGGTGAAGAAGGGCAAAGCATTATGAAATGAGTTTTAAATTTAAGTCAAGGTGCTCAGTTGAGAGTTCCATTTCCCCTGTAATTGATTTCTTTTGTTTCAAGAGAAACTCACAAGTTGTTTGAATCTGGTTTTTGTGATGTTAACATGGAGGCAGGAGTACTTGCCAGTAATCTGCCGCTTTAGGGTGTTAGGAGGCTCTTTCTCTGATTTGTTAAGGGCAATTTTATTTATTTAATTTTAAGGCAAGATCTCTTTCTGCCATCCAGGCTGGAATGCAGTGGCACGATCATAGCTCACGGTAGCCTTGGACTTCTGGGCTCAAGTGATCCTTCTACCTCAGCCTCCTGAGTAGCTGGGACTCCAGGCATGCATCACAACGCCTAGTGAATTTTCAAATTTTTTTAAATAAAGATGGGGTCCTGCTATGTTGTTCAGGCAGGCCTCAAACTCCTGGCCTCAAGTGATCCTCCTGCCTCAGCCTCCTATAGGCGTGAGCCACTGTGCCAGGCTGAAGACAATTTCTTAGATGGAAATACCTATCTGATGTTCTGGAGATCCCATAGGTAATGCCACATATGAAATACTACACTCACAGGCTCTGGTATTCTTCTCTACCTGGCTCAATAGCTGTGTGACCTTAGCCAAGTGCCTTAGTCTGCTAAAGGTCATGTCTCAACTGCAGATTGAAATCATACTAGATTGTTTCAAGGTCTTAAGGAGAGATTGGACTTATAGAAGCTAGGTATACTGTCTTCAAAAAGTAGTTGCTGTCAATTTATTATTTCTGCATTCTAATCTCATCTTTTGGTCATTCTGTACTTCCTTTGCTTCCCTTCCATGACCAGCTGATGCCCTCATCCCAGAAAGGGGGTATTTGGGGTGACAGATACCTCGCATCCTGTCCAGGGCTAGAAAAGCCTTCAGGACCTGGAAAGGAAAAGAAGTTAGCAGAATGCAAGTGTCTTTATTCTAACTCCACTGGTTTTAAAGTTTCCTTTTTTTTTTTCTTCCAGCAAATGTGTTTTCTTCCTCTCATGGAACCAAGAACATATGTGATCCCTGGCAGATGATTTTTGCAACTCTTAAAGTCAGGATTGGAGAAGGCTGACTCACAATTTCTTACACTGCACGTGTGAAATCTTTCAAGAAAACTTGAAGGGGGGAAAGATCTACAGTATTTTGGATGATGTTTTCAATTGCTATGAAATTGGTTAATAAAAAAAAGAATCGATCAGTTATTTGCTTCTGTTTCTGACTTTTAAAAACCTTTTTATTTTAAAACAGCAGGAAGAGATGGGTTGAACAAAAGGTAGTATCACTGAGGACAGAGAGAAGGTAACATTTGCAGAGCATTGTAGTTTTCCAGTCATCTTAGTCATTTGATCTTGTGACATCTCTCTGATTCAGGCTTTATCTATGATAAGAACAGAAGCTCTGAGGGATACAGAGCCATTGAGACTTTATTGACTGTAATTATTGTCTATTTTTTTTTTTGCATTTTACTCGGTCATTTTTTTTTAAAGGTTCATACAGTTCAGGTTTTATTAAACTTAAAGTCACCTAAAGAATGGGAAACTAGAACATGATTCCTGTTAAAATAATACATTTGAGAAAATGCTTCTTTAGCTATCACTGTAATTGATCAAGCATGCAACAGACATTCTTTTATAAGATATCCAGTCCCTAACTTCCAAAATGCCAGATCAAAGGTCTTAGCTATGCAATATGTTTTGTAAGTATCAGTGATTAAGTCTGCCTGCCTATGGCCAACCACAAGGACAGAGACCCCATACAGATACACAGTCAGCTCAGACAAAATAAGTCTTAATCACAGAGTATGTCTTTAGAGCAAAACTCCCAAGCTCAGAAAACAAAAGAGTTCTAACAACTCCTGCAACAGAGACTAGAAAAAGTGTCAGCAGCCAAAAATATTAACTACAGGCTAAGTGATAGTCATTTCCACTTCCTTCCAGAGCTCGGTTCAAATCCTGGCCTTACCGCTTAGTGACCGTGTGATCTTGAGCTAAGCACTTCAACTTCGCAGGGTCCTGTTTCCCTGTGTATATGTGGTGATACCAACACATCATCCCCGTGCACGGCTGTGAGATGAAAAGATATCACACACACTGCACAGCATGTGGCATGCAGCAGACATCGAATAAATAGTAACTATTGTTTGGTAGCATTGTGATTATCCACAATCCTGGGTTTGCAATATCGTCAGTGTTAAAATTTGAAACACATTTATTCTTTATATTCTAGCAAACTAGTTTCAAGTCTGGTTTTCAGATACATTATCTAGTTTGGGCTTAAAAAAAAAAATCCTGTAGATGTTCTGCTCTGCTTATCAAAGGTTCTCTTAATGCTTACCCAAGGGTAAGTAAATTACACAGGATTCTGTTCTGCCTGCTATTACTCTTCTCGAACTGCATTCCATGTGGTAGTGGGTCAACTCCTTTACTTCCTATTTCCTCCTACCACATTCTATACCCAAAAAAGGTGCCAGTTAAGTTTTGGCCCTCCTTTAAAAGTGAATTTCCATCTTCATTTTATTCTTTTAAATGACTTAAAGTGGTTGCAAGTTCTTTTAGTGCCCTCCAATCCCAATTCAGGCAACAAAACAGTCACAGGAGAGAATGATTAGTGCTTTTGCCAGGGTCTCCTCCCACGGATGACTTTGTAATGAACTATGCATCCATAAAAGGTTGACTCTTTGATCTCTTGCTGCTTGTACAACACTAAAGCACAAGGCATTCCAGGGCAAACCACGCAAAGAGAGAGGAACACAGGTTATTTATGGTAGTCCACTGACCCTAAGTTTAGCCTAGCTCTTTAAAGATTCAAATACACACATCATATTGACTGCCAGCTCTGCTCCCTCGTGTTACAGCAGTGTCTAATGGGGCGGTAGCATAGGAATGTCTGATCCCTGGCTTCTCCCTGGGGTGAGAAAGGTAGCTGGTTTGGCAGAGACAGTCACAGCAGTATTTATAGAGACAGCAGAAAATAGAATCCATATGCTTACAAAGGAAAGTCAGAGTAAATCACCAGGAGCTAAGAAGACTCCTGAACTCCCTTTCTGAGGCCTGTTTGGCTTCTGGCACAGACTAAACAGGACCTACCTACCAGATTTCTAGCTGCACAGAATCCAGCACCCACACACCCTCCTCCTCCATCTGATGGTGTTCTACTAACAGTGTCACTTTACAGAAGGAGGGGAAACAGCCTCTTTGGTTGCTTGAATTCAGAAGCTATTTTGCAAGCTTTCTACCATCACTCAGGGAACTTTTGCCATCACGCAGTGAACTTCCTGTCAGAGCTGGTGCAAACATTCTGATGTTCACGAAGCTAAGTCCAATGCTTCCTGACAATGGTTCTCAGGCCATGATGGCTAAGGCCCTCCATCCCTCTGTGATGTGGCTGAGTGCTGATTTATACAGCTCAGTAAACCAAAAACCAAGTTGAATGAAGATGGTATTGAGACAAGATCGATCATTTATCTATCTATCTATCTATCTATCTATCTATCTATCTATCTATCATCTATCTATCTAATTCCCTACCTTCCTTTGGATCCAATATCAAAATTTTACATCTTGTAGTCAAAATGTTGAGGTCTGTATGAAAACTTTTGTAATGGGAGAAAATGCAAAATGTTAATAGTTTTCGTTAGCATAAAATATTGAACTAGTGGATTTATGAGCAGAATTTAGGCTGAATAAATACGATAAAGTTGGGGATTGAGTCATCTCACCATTCCAGACACTTAAGGCCGTTTAGGCTGATTTGGGCAAAGCAAAGGGATCTCAATGAAACTGGAAAATTAATTTTACTCCTTTTATGGGATCCTGACTTTGATCAGAATGATATAATTGGGCAGGCCCAAAAGGGACTCTTATTTCTGATTCGTTCTATTCCCTCCATAGACACAGACAAAGTCATCGGGTATCTACACAGTTCCCTATATCCTTTGCCAAAAAGTTCATGTTCTCTGAGCATTTTCATATTCTTTAGTCGTTATCATGGCTTTGAGCCAGAGTCTGAGCACAAAGACAGGCATATAAATGGATCTAATACTTGGTCTGAAAAATAACACATAAGCCACTAACCCTGTCTGCAAGACCAAAGGAAGAATGGCTAAAAAATAAAGGAGCTGCATATCAGAATGAATACCTGTGGGAAGATTGCAGGGTTCAATTTGGACATTTTGTTCCACTGGGCTCAGAGAGGGAATGAACAGAAGCCAAGTTTTATAGAAAGGACTTTACCTAATAATTCATTTACTGCCAACATGATGATGCTCATTTTATGATTTAATAAAAAGATAAACCTTACCTAAAAAGAAAGTAAGGAGAAGGAGGAGGACTCCACGGAGAAGTGATGCAGTCTTTCAGCGGTGAGTCCCAGGGGCTCTGGCTGTGGTTCCACTCTGTCTCCAGGACAGTGCAATCGGCCATAAATTTAGGACCCCAGAATCTCCATCTGTAAAATACAAGTCATTTGGAATTGTTCCCACTGTAACTGCTAACTGAGTAATTAAAAACGCATGTGGATTAAAAAAATGCAGGGAAAACAAAAAATGATATACAGCCAGGCTCAGGATGCTTTGTAATTACACACAGGGCTTTACAGTTATCCAAAGTTTGAGTTCAAGTTAACTTCAGTTTTCCAGTATTTTCCCCAAAACATATAATCGAACACTACGAAGGAAAGTAAACACATTCGACTAAGTCAACCATGAAAATAAGAGTTGGCTTAGGTAGTCAGAGGTGGAAGGAAACGAAGAGAGGCCAGTTGAGAATGAGAGAGGCTGAATGAAAAGCTGAAGCATTGCAAACTCGCCTCTCTGATCCCTTTGTTAGGGGGTGACATGCAGCTGCCGTGGCTATATCGCTCCAAGAGCCTGACGCACAGAGATGCCTGGTTCCCTCAGCCACGCCAAACAAGACATGGGCATGGTCATGGGAGTAAGGACAGGTAGGAGAGGCTGGACCACTGGTGGACGTGAATTGCCCAACATAAAGATTTCTGTCTAAAGAGAATTTCTGAAACCTGAAGATTTCAAAACAGTGGACGAGGCTGAGAGGTACCTCTTCTGTGGGGCAAGGTTTTGGGATTTTTGAGGAGAGCCAGGAAAATGGATTTGACATTGTAACCCTCCATTGCACTTGGTAGATTTCTATGCTGCAGGAAACTGCGGTGATTTAGTTGATGCTAGAAAACTGGGTGCTCATAGAATAAGGCGACTGGTTACAACAGTATTTTTCCCAATAGAAATTTGTTTCTATAAACTCCTCTTAGGATCCTGAGAAACATATTTTAAGAAGGAAAATGATGGATTAAAGTATGGAAAAATGTCATCGAACACACTTATGTCACAAACACATTATTGAGTTTTGGCCATCATTTAGTAGCCAGGTTATTAAAATGTGAACTATGCCCCCATTAAAATATATTGCAAATATTGTGTTGGGTTTTTGCCCTGAAACGCCCATGCTATTAAACTTTTAAAATATTGGCTATGTCCATACAATTTAAATTATTTGTTGTGCTGAGTTCCATTAGTTATGAACTAATTAACTTAAAGTTTCTTTTTCAAACTCTTTTGGGCATTAAAGTGGTCACTGAAATGGTATAACCCAGAAGAGATGAGCAGCCTAGATGTCAGGTGAGGTCTGGGTTTCTGGGGAAGCTATTTGATCTCTGGGCTGTGTCTTTACCAACAGTATAAAGTTGTAAGTTCTTGATGAGTAGAGAATAGTGTCCCAGATCTGCTAATCTATATCAGAGGTTATAGTGTTGATTCTGTGACCACTTCAGCATAAAACTTTGTGCAAATTCTTAGCTACTCTGATTTCTTCTTTTGTTTAATACTTAGGACACTATTTTCTTCACTCACTCACCACACTAAGTTCCACTGGCCACTGAATGACATCAAAACTGTGAAGTATTGAAAACTAAAACTCACTATAATATGCCAACTACCTGGCACTTTAACAAGGCACCATACTAAGTCTATTGCTGTCACTTGTAATAACAACAAATCTCTAGAAAGGTAGAAGTGATCTCACACATTACTATGAAGGAAAGCAACTTTCTAGATTTAAAATAATATTCCTGGTGAGTAGTGGACTCAGGATTTGAACCCAGGTCAGTCTGACTTCAAAGTCTTGGATCCTTCCACTTACATAAACCAGTGACCAGGTCAAGGAGTGACTGTTTTACCCAATAACATAAACATAGCTGTTTGATTGCTTCAAATTATTATTGGAATAATGGTAATAACAATCAATTGCCTAAATGTCTCTGGAGTGAAGTTCTAAGGTCAAATCTGGCGAATTTGAATTAACTAGGGGAGGTAACTGAAAAACATATACGAATAATAAAGACAATAACTAGCTTACACTGAGTGCCCAGCATTGCTCCCCATACATTATCTCATGCTATCCTCAGGACGGCCCTACCAGCTGGGCACTGTTAGCCTGATCTTGCAGATGAACAAGTTGATGCTCTTAAAGGTTAGATACATTGTCCAAAATCACATTGTAAGTGGCAGAATCTGATTCCCAAATCCCAGTCAGCCTAACTCCATAGCCCATTCTCTCCATGGCTACTCTCTTTCTGTCCATGTAATAGTTTTCAATTCTATGTGAATAAGTTTACTGTTTGGGACAAAAATTCTAAGCTGCTCCCACCATCCCTCTCTTTTCCTTGAGTCCCGTTGTGCAATCTTCCCACTTTGGTCCTCCAGGACACCAAACAAGACTTCTGGTCACTCCTGATTCCACAGCTCACAGCCCTTCCTTCCCACTGGATTGGCCCAGTTCTATCCCTGTTCCAAACATTTGTATTTATCTTTTCTGCTCTTCTTCTCCCAAATCTTTGCCTCAATGACTATAGTTTTGCTCTCTTCTTTCCCCTTTCTGAATGTGAGACAGAAGAAGAAAAGAGCACTCCAAGAAAGTTATATATAAGAAGGCAGACAATTTGTGCATGCACAGTGTGGGTACTGCAATAGGACATGAAAATATATCTTGAATTATTTGCTGGTCACTGGATCTTGTTGAGAAGAAATTAGCAATAATAATCCATTGCTTGGATCTCTCTGTAGTAAGCAAAATTCTCTCAAATCTAATCTGGAGAATTCAGACTAATTGGGGGATGTAATTGAAAAGTGTATTAGAATATAGTTCCAAATATAGTTTTATTATTCTTACACAAATAGAGTAATTCCAGTTATACTATGAAAAATGGCCAAGTGGAAGTTCTTAATGGATTTTGTTACAATGCATGAATAAGAACACTTGTGATCAGTCTGTGATTGTTAAAACAAAAAGATAAGTATACCAAGACACTTGGCTTAACCTGAAAAGTCTTGTCTTTGAACAAAATTAAAAAGCCTCAGCCGGGTGCAGTGGCTCATGCCTATAATCTCAGCACTTTGGGAGGCCGAGGCAGGTGGATCATGAGGTCAGGAGTTCGAGACCAGCTTGGCCAACATAGTGAAACTCTTGTCTCTACTAAAATACAAGAATTAGCCAGGCATGGTGGGGCGTGCCTGTAATGCCAGCTACTCAGGAGGCTGAGGCAGGAGAATTGCTTGAACTCGGGAGGTGGAGTTGCAGTGAGCTGAGATTGCACCACTGCACTCCAGCCTGGGCAACAGATTGAGACTCCATCTCAAAAGAAAAAATAAATAAAAATAAAAATATATATATAAATAATAAAATAATTAAAAGGCCTCTGAAATATTTTGGATATTGCTACCTAGTTTGCAAGATTTTGGATAAGATGGTTTATTTAGTAAATATAAATTTCAAATCAGTTAAACTCCAAATTATTTAAAAATTAAAATATTTTGGAAATAACAGGAATAGGAATAGGACACCGAGTATGAATGAGCAAAATTTCCCTGTTTGACTACTGCAAATTACTCCAGTAACAACTATTGAAAGCATTCTGTGACTCGAAATGACACGTGAAATCATCAGCGTTATCCTGTGACAGCACAATATCTGTGAGAAAAGCAATTGTGAAACTCGCCTCTTTTTGCAACAGACTTTCTCTCACTGGTCCCCTGGCAACCGGTCAGATTTTCTCATTTGAGAAATTCAACCTGGTGCCATGTAATAGATAGAAATGCAAGAAAGTAAGGTGCAATTTCAGCACATGTGAAACCGTTGATGATATTCAGAGTTCAAGAAATACTATTTGAAGGACATGATTAAACAATTCTCAAAAGAAGATATACAAATGGCCAAAAAACATTTAAAAAAATGCTCAACATCACTAATTATCAGGGAAATGCAAACAAAAACCACAATGAAATACCACCTTTCTCCTGCAAGAATGGCTATAATTAAGAAATAAAAAAATCATGGAAGTTGGTGTGGATGTGGTAAAAGGGAACATTTTTACACTGCTGGTGGCAATGTAAACTAGTACAACCACTGTGGAAAACGGTGTGCAGATTCCCTAAAGTACTAAAAGTAGATTTACCATTCAATCCAGCAATCCTACTACTAGATATCTACCCAAAAGGAAAAAAGATACTTGCACATGCATGTTTACAGCAGTACAATTCACAAGTGCAGAGACGTGGAGCCAACCGAAGTGCCCATCAACTAGTGAGTGGATTAAGAAAATGTGGTATATACACACACTATGGAATACTATTCAGCCATAAACAAGAACAAAATAATGGCATTTGCAGCAACTTGGATGGAGTTGGAGACCATTATTCCAAGTGAATTAAGTGAAGTAAGTCACAAATGGAAAACAAAATAGCATATGCTCTCACTTATAACTTAGGAGCTAAGCTATGAGGATGCAAAGGCATAAGAATGATATAATGAACTTTGGGGACTCAGGCAAAAGGGTGTGAGGGGGCTGAGGGATAAAAGACTACACAATGGGCACAGTCTTCACTGCTTGAGTGACAGGTGCACCAAAATCTCAGAAATCACTACTAACAAACTTATCCAAGTAACCAAAAACTACCTGTACCCCCAAAACTATTGAGATAAAATTTAAAAATACTATTTGAAGGACATAAAAGAGAGGGATTTGGGTTAATTTTGTCCTTATCAAATAATGCATTTAATTGCTAGTTATTGCTGGTTTAATGTGAAGAAGGGTAACATCTGAAGTTGGATGGAGCAGAGGTCCCCATCGGAACTCTGGGTGGGCCCACTGGAAGTCTGAGGAGGGTTGGAATAGCAGGAGCAATTCCTGCAAAGAAGGAAAGAGGCAAGGTCTCTGGATTGTTCTAAAAGTGTCTCTGCGGTGAGAGGTGGTGTCAATCTGAGTAAAGCGTGTGACCTGAGACTTGGAGCTGACCCAGGCCCAGACTTGGACAACCCATGCCTGAGCCCTCTGGAGAGGAGACTAAGAATGAATTGGAAAGAGCCATGAGTGACTATGGCCCCGACTAGAAGTTGCTAGTTTCTAGCAGTAAGGAGGGATAAGCGGTAAGAGCATTG